TTGACTATTAGGTAACTTGTTGGTTAAACTCACACTCTCTACACTGTCGGATACTCCGTTATGACTGATGGACATTCCGCTGTACTGGGTACCAAGGTGGGTTGTCTCTGGGTGACTCTGTTCGGCTCTAGCGGATGCTCCGTGGGTTTTATGGATACTCCGATAGGTTTTGGGCACTCTCGGGTTACTGGGTTACTCCGTGTATATAAATTCCTCGGATGCCCCGAAGTGTGTGACGGACTATCCGATAGGAACTAAGTGCTTTCGGGTTCTCTGGTTGTGAGTCTTTATAATTCAGCGGATACTCCGATCGATAGTCGGACCTTCCGTTGTTCATGCTCATAGTAGTCTAGGTGCCTCTGCTGGGAGATTTACTAGGTTGGGGAGGTTTATCGGACACTCCGCCAACTGGGCGACAAAACCTATACTCTATGCCTCAGGGTTGGTTAATTGCTATTTTGGGTGTTGAACATCCATGCATGTGTGCTAGACTTCTAGGATGATCTTAGGGATATGCTAGAGTAAGGCTAGTTGAGTTCTTGGCTAACTAGTGCATCTAGTGGCTTGGCTAAATCTCTTCCCATGATCCACTTGTGACCAAAACATGTGATTGAGTAAGAAAGCTTACTCCAAGATTGGGATTCCTGAGATGCTAGACTTCATGATAAGGGCTTGAACACATCTTGCCTTTGTGGTGAACGAGAGGTCACACACTCCATGATCCATACATGCATGAGAGATTGAGATTAGGGTTTGAGAGAAATCTTCAACTAAAGAGATGAGAGCTCATGAGCTAACCATGATCATGAGATAAGGATGGCTTGACCTTGATGAGTTGATGGCCTTGGATTGCATTCCTTCACTTCATCTTCCACCTTTATCTCCACTTCCACCTTCATCTTCTCTCTAGTTCTTCCTCACTCTTGTTCTTCTAGAGAGAGAGGGTGAGAAATGGGAGAGTGAAATGAGTTAGTGCTGCATCAGCTGAGACTTGATATTTCCTTTTCGTGCATATGACAGGTGGGGCCAAGGATTGAGTGGAGGACAGCTCATTCCCTACTCACTGCATGCAGTTCAGTTACTGGCGGATGATCCGGTGTCACATCGGGTTGTCCGATGGTCTCTGAACTCATGGACTTGATCCAAGCACTCAAGATTTGACGATTAGGGTTACTTCCATTGTTCCAAGGGTTAACAACCTGACCAATGACAACTTAGGTTATGATAATATGCTTCCTAGTGAGTGCGCTGACTATTGTTAACTTCATGCTCGTCCGATTTGTGCAAGGACTCTATCGATTATCCAAGATTGAGGGTCTGGGTGGTTGTAGCGAATTCGGGTCGTTACAGACACTGTATGGGCTTGCTGCTTCACAATATGGAGAATCTAGAGAGATGCTGAAAGAAGGTGAAATGGTAAAAGATTATGTCAACAGGCTTTTTGGATACAGGCATGATCACCTGCCTTATGCAGCTGGTGCAGTAGTTGGATTCACTATCCATTTTGCTTCTGGCTTTGCCTTCTCCATCAAGGTCATCAACTTCCAAAGAAGATAATAAGAGAAGTCGTTTCAAAGAACTCAGCTTTTCTTCAACTTTGCGACTGATGCCAATAGGTGTAATTTCTCTTAAAGAAATGGTGAACAACTGAAAATGCATGCATGAACCTCGTGGCAAAGGTGTTTGAATGGAACATCTCCATTTGCCTTGTGCATTTTGTAAACCTAATTTTGTTTTAGAATGCTTAGATTATGTGAGCATAACTTGTCTAAGAACTAGCTGATAAACAAGCATTGAGTAAAAAAAAGACATGCTAAAACTGCAAGAAGAATGCCTATTCTGGTTCTTTGGAGACACCAGATATTTGGATCCTACAGGGCAGCTTGTTCCATCTTCCATAGTTCTGATCCGAATGCCGAGACTTGCTGCCAATCTTAGTTCCTATATGAGGCACAAAAGTAGAAGGATCGGTAATCGGCATATAGATTCATAATCTTGGCACTTAATTCATGCTTGTAAAAACTTTGGTTTTCAACCGCAGATCTGTAGGAACTTGTTCATCTTCTTTTTGGACAGAATTATCACTTGTATCATGTGGCATAACTGCAGTATCTTTGTTCTTCAATTCAGTTCCAAAAACTGAACATTTTGGCTGTCTTCCATCCATAAATATCCATCCAACCCATCACACTCGTATTGAAGCCGATGAATACAGACTACAGAGTCACCAACTATTGTTGCCTCGGAGAGACAGAGCGAGCAGGTTTTCCAGGATCATAGTAACTTCCGAACCCTGTCGGCTGCCAGCAGCAGCAATGGGCTTCTGTTCTGCTGCAGCCGTCCTTCCTTCCCCGCAGTGAATGCCACTGGGTGCTTGGGTCTGGTTTAGATGCAAAAAAATTTTGCAAAATGAGTATTCGTAGCGTTTTTGTTGTTATTTGGCAAATAGTGTCCAATCATAGTCTAATTAGGCTTAAAAGATTCGTCTCGTGGATTTCGTCTAAACTGTGTAATTAGTTTTAATTTTTATTTATATTTAATGCTTCATGCATACGTTCAAAGATTCGATGTGACGAGAAATGTGAAAAATTTTGCAAAATTTTTTGCAAACTAAACTGGACCTTGGATGCTGACGTGGTTGCGTTGCCTCAGGGAAGTCCCCTGTGCCAGGCTGCCGGCGGTAGCCGCTGCGCAGGCATAAATTCCATGCCAGGATAAGTACGTATCTGCGAGCCGTAGCATTGTTCCCAGAGGCGCACAAGCAAAATTCCTGCTCCGCTTTACTGTTCTAACTCTGAAGCGCCTTCATTTCGTAGCAGCGCCGTGCCAGGAAACATCAATTGAGACGTCAGAGTGTCCATGGGACGGCCTTGAGAATTCCTTCTGTGAACTGAATCTTTCGTGCATCGCACTAGTACTCCCTCCGTTCAGGAAAAAAAAACGCAAAACCTGGATAGAGGAGCACGCTACATGAATAAAGATCGGAAAGCTGTAATTTTCTGAAGAGTAAAAAGAGAGAGTCGATGGATGCCTTCCTTCCTCATGTTCGATGCGACCGCGTCTCTGATCCTCGCGTGCAACCGCTGCTCCAACGGCGTCACACAGGGGACTTCTGGATCAATAAACAACGACAGCGAAGGAAACACAAAGACACATGGAGTCAAAGTCAAACTGCCTTAGCCCGGATGCAATGAAGCCTGAGGGAACGAACGAAACACGCACGCGGAGCCTGACGAACGACCGGAGACGGAGCAGTCACCGTAATGATTTCGTCCCTGACGCGACCGGCGATTGACAGAGACGACAGTCACGACCCACGCCGGGCCCTGTGTTCCTCGCGCAGGCGCATCTTCCATTCTGTGCCTTTCAGCGTGGGTCAGTCAAGCAACAGTGGATCGAGCGAGCCCAGCAGGCAGCAGCGGCAATGAATGACGCGGGGCAGGAATTCTTGTCCTGGGTGCCTGCGCGGCTGCGCTGCGCACCCCACCACCTCCGTGCTCCGTCCCCTCCGTGCTGCGTTCGGTTCTCCGTTTCGTCGCTGCCCCTCCAACTGGAGAAGGATCCCAAAGCCGTTCTCCAATGACAACCATGCCCATGTCCATGTCCATTTGTTTGATTGCCTCCTGGAAGATTTCTGTTTGGAAGAAGAAAAAAAGAATGCGTCCTGTATAATGGACGGTGGACGACGGGAGAGTCGGAGAAGAAACAACCGAAGCAGCTAGGGTGCGGAGGGCAGGTGTGTAACGGATTGATTGCGTATTTGCGTCTGTGACGGTGGGAAATCGACGCCGCGACGGTTGCTGTGCGTTCGGTACACTGATGCGTGATGCATCTTTGTGCCAAGGGTGACGCAGTCTGTAGTAGATAGTAGGGGCCAAGCATGCTTCAATGTACTGTACGTCACCAGGTTGTCAGAGAGTGTGTAGCAGCCACTATCTGACAGTTTCCCGGGCGGCCACGGTTCCGGTTTCAGTTGCCCGTCAACATCGCACTCGCAAGCCCATGCTTGAATTTTCTGAGAGATCGGCGCGGTGCAACGCAATGACTTGGTCGTCAATCCAACTGAACATGATGATCCAAGCCAAGCGTGTGCTGTGCGTGTGCGTGTGCGTGTGCGTGTGCGTGTGCGTGTGCGTGTGCCGGATGAGTACTCGCTCGCCGGCCAATTTACAACGACTCTTAGGCACGGTTATTAAGTGGTGACACACAGACGGACAGACCCTTCAGCTTAAAACCAGCACAGGAAAACGACGTCGCACGACTTCTACTGTCACCTCTGCCCGGCACGCCTTCATCCACGCACCTCCACGGACCAGCAGCGTCCAGCGACACACTGGAACCCTCCTCTCGGCTCTGTTAACCACAGCGCCGCCCGCGCCAGACGACGAGGGGGCTGACCGAGCTCGGGTGAGCGGGCACGCGACACGGCGCAGCGTTGGCGATGCACGGAAGCATGTTACTATGTCAGGAGCCAGGAGGAGGCCATGCTGCTGGGCCAACCAGGCGTATAGGCGTACAGAGAAGCAATGTACGTAGGCCAGCTAGCAGCTAGCAAGTGGCGTCGCCATCAGCACAAACTCCCCGGAGAGCGAGAGGCATGTACGGGCGGGGCACCACCCGAAATTAACAAACCAACCGCTAACCAAAAGGACACGGCACCATTGATCGATCATCCCTTGCCGATAGCCCTGACCATCGGCTTTGACCGTTCTTACAAAGTTATTACAAAGAGTTTAAAAAATAATAATAATGCGATTAATAATTCCATCGCACTCGCAGAGTGCAGAGACGACACACAGGTGTTTGCTTTCTAGACGCAGCCTGTGAAGCCAAATCACCAATAAACAAGAGTAAAAAAAAAAGTTACAGAGAGAGGCAGGGCAGGGAGTAGAGCGTGGACGTGGAGTAGCTAGTAGGGAGACGTAGCTCGTGGTCGTCGTTAAGAAGCATTTAACCACGGCTTAATCTAGCGATCGCGATAGGTAACTAAACCAAACGAGCTAGGGTAGGTACATGCTCGGGTCGTGGACGACGTCCGTCCAGCAGCTCCCGGCGTTCCAGTACGCCGCGGCTGACGCGGCGTCGCCGAGCTCGAATATCCCGGCGGCGTCCAGGGACGCGAACGGCGCCATGTCCTCGGACACCGAGGAGGACGACGGCGCCGCCGCTTGCCCCTGTCCGGCCACCAGCTGCACCTCCGAGGGGGTGGTCGGCGCTTCCACCTTCGGCTGCGCCGCGAAGGTGAACACCGGGAACGGCGGCGGCGGGGGAGGCGCGAAGAGGGACGCCAGCGCCGCCGCCTGATCGGCGAATATCGGCGCCGGTGGCGCCACCACGTCGATCGTGGAGAAGGGGTTCGAGTGGTGGTGGCTGCTCGTCGTGAAGGCGGCGACGCTGCTGTTCGACGACGGCGTGGCGGGGGTGGTCGAGGTCGGGGTCGGGGCCAGCGTCGTCGCGGCGGCGGCCGTGGGGCTCGCGCTGCCGCTGTTGGTGGAGCGGGGCGAGGACGCCGAGGCGCGGCGCGGGTTCTTATTGGCCGCCGCGTCGCCCGACGTGGGCGTGGACGGCACCGACGACGTGGCGGACGAGGACGACGACGACGCGCGCTTCGTCTTGCGGCACCCGCCGCCCACGGGGACGTTGCGCAGCACGCCGCCCTTGGTCCAGTACCGGCGGCAGCTCTTGCAGAAGTGCCGCGGCTGCGACAGGTTGTAGTTGTTGTAGTAGCAGAACTTGGTGTTGGTGGACTCGCACCGCGGGCACTTCACCGCCTCTGGCGGCGCCGCGGGCGAGACGCCGCCGCACCGCGCCCCGGGGCCCTGCTGCGCATGCGCATGCGCCTGCGCGCGCTGGAGGTCGCCGGCCCCTGCGCCGCCGAACAGCAGCCCGGCCAGGCCCGGGAAGGACTGGAATTCCTGCATGATGGCGTCTAGCGGCGCGTCGTCTGCAACTACAACGTGCTAGGATATGGCCTCGGCGGGCGTGAGTGTGTTGTTGGTGCGTTTGTTGTGTTTGCCGGGGAGGCGGGAGCGTGGCAAGAGCTCCACCCGCTCGGCATCGCCTCTGCATCACACACCGATGGGCGATGGCGGGTAAATATCTACACTTCTCACTCTCGTCCTGTCTGCCGTCCAAGTTACGAAATTGCCCTTCAGTTTGTGTGTTATTGACCGAGTTGACCCCTAGTGTTCCTTATCGTGTAGTACGTGTAGGCGTGTGTGCTCGATCGGACTCGACGGCTACTCGAGTAGATGGATCTCTCCTGCATTGATCGGCGACGTCGCTGGATTCGAGCTCAGATCATTAGCATATCGTGAGTTCTGATTCTCGTCTAATTTATTCATCTTTTATTTTAATCTGCATTCTTAGGCACGATACGGATTGTTTCTGTTGGATACCGCAAGAAGGGGTACCCTAAGTAAGAACCGAAAATATTGCTTAAGCCTTATAAAAATTAAAGCCAAAGGACAACCACGAGGTCTCGGCAGATTCTCCGATTCGCCCGAGGCTTACGCCAAGGCCTAAGGCGAAAGGCCAAAACTCTCCGCCCTCTCGCCGAGGCCCCGCCCCGCAAGGCCTCGGACGGGATATCAATTCTCCGATTCGCCCGAGGCTGGGCTCGGCAACAACCTCGTCACCTCCGTCCCGATCGACTCCTCTGACAAAACGTCACGTCCAGTTAATGCGCCCAACTACTCTCGCAACGCCAGTCGCACGTTGGCGCAGTACAGGCAGAGTGACCAACGGTACAGGAGACCGGGCGCAGCAGGGGTTACCTGCCACTGTGCTCATCACTGTGCCCCCTGCTGACACCCGTACTGTCTTGTGCTACCTAACTCCTGCGCCAAGGACAAAGCGACGTGGAGGGTCAAGTCCGGGTCCCTGTAGTCTCGGAATCAGCATGAAAGACCAACTGCTCGTCCTCCGCCTCGTCCGAGACCCCCCGGCAGGGCCTCGGACGTACTATTCCTTCTCCGCTTCGACCGAGCCCGGGCTCGTCCCGCATCCTCGTCGCCTCCGCCTCAACCGTCCCTTTGGCGAGCCGTCCCATCCGTTTAAAGTGCGCCTGGTAACACCTACTACGTCAGCCACGACTGGCAGGGTACAGCAACAGGGACGATGGGACAACGGTCAAATCTCCTTTTTACCATCCCCTACTGACGGTGCAGGGGTTACCGTGCCCTGCGGACACACGCTCCGCACTCTTCCACCTAAACCGGGTACGATGCTGACCATCAAGACCCCCACATCATACACGGGTCACCTCCGAGGCCTCGGCAAAGCAGGCCTTGGCACGATCAACTATAGCACCCGCCAGGCCTCGGCACTCCGCCAAGTCAAGAATCCACAAGGCACGGTATGTCTCCTACAGTGGAGGCCATACTGACTAGACGTCAACAAAGACTCCCGCGACCTCAAACAACCTCGGGCCTGGCCAGCACGACGCGCCGGTCAGGTACTGATCGCCATTTCCAACACCATGCTGCTACAGGACTGAACTACATTAGGCTCCACGTGCAGCTCACTCATGTACTCCTGGCTCCCTCCTTGCGGCTATAAAAGGAAGCAGCCAGGGATAGCTCTAGGAGAGGCAAGAAAACATACGAAAGAACCACGCTCTCACACACGCGACACTCTGTAACACACGCTCTCCCAAGCTGTCCGAGAGCAACGTCTCAAGCAGCCCGCACCAATCCATGCCGAGACCTGGGACTAGCTCCCTCTCTCACCCAGCTTGTAACCCCCTACTACAAGCACTTCGGTGCAAGGAATACAAGATCGATCTCTCAGACTAGACGTAGGGCGCCAATTGCCTGAACCAGTATAAACCTTGTGTCTCTTTGCATCACCATCTGGGATTAGGGCCACGTAGTTCAAATTCACTGGTTGGTTGAGGACCCCTGGTCCGAAACACCGACAGTTTCTGACCTGCAGATCTACGGGTGGAGATCTTCAGAGGATAATCACATGTTCGCTTATAAGCCGGCTGATGCTATTTTATTGTAAGAGAAAAACACTGTATCATAACTGCTAAACCATGGTTGATACGCGAACAGGGTGAATAAGGCCACGAGAGTTTGCAGCTACTGGGTCGACATGCATGCTGGCCCGAAGAGGTAAGGCGCGCCGTGGACGAACCTGCGCCGCTTGTTTCGGTCGACGTTTCGGGGCTTCCTTTCGAGATCGTCACGTAGAACGAACCCACTTCGCCTTCCGTTTCTGAAGGCCGGCTCGGCTGTCACACCATATGCTGGCAAACATTCTTAACGAACGAATCTGATCGGCCTGCCCATAGGATCGTTGTGCCAGCAAAGATGGTATACTGCAGATATTTGTGGGCTCGTGTACTCATGCAATGCGGCCACAAGGCTTTGGCCACTCGAGTTACTCAACTGGTGCCGGCATGGGCATATCGGCGCATCGCAGCTTGCTATATACGAACCAGATTCCGCTTGCAAGAACCAAGGAAGTGGCGTCCGGTTACTGGCGGCGCCGGGACAAGCTAAGGTGGGCTACGGAGCGATGGAGTCCACACATGGTGGCAACTGGCAACACGAGCAGTGTCCATGACGAATTGAAGCGCTGAACAGTCGCCGGTCGCCCGATCGAATCGCGGTCAGGGATTTCGCGTCCGCCCGCCCGCGGCTCCTTCTGCTGCCCTCCAGGGCCGGCCACATCGGCCTCTGCCTCGCCCTCGCGGCTCCCCGCCTCCACCCGCCGGTTGAGTAAGGTCCTATTCATTCGTCGTACTTTTTCAGCGAACGAACAGTAAATAGTACTTTCAGGCGTGCCTTTTGAGCGAAGTGAACCGGACCTAAGTCGTTGCGTCCGGCACGTCGAGCTCGCTGGGCTGGCAGGCACGCCGCCGTGATGATACTGCCAAGGCCGGATAGGGTTGAGAACGCCTTGCCCGGATTAGTAATTGTGGCGTTGCCGAATCCATCGAGCGGTCTCAGCAAGAAGCGAGCCCATCACGCTCTCGCGTGATGACGGCCGCCCGGCGGGATAGCTGTGCGCGTTCCATGCGGCACGGGGCTCGATCATCGCATGGGCGGACACGTTACGGCCGGTTTTGCTTGCTCAGATGGGCCACCGGTGTCATGGCGTGCTAGCTTCTTCTTCGAACACCGATCGACGGTGGTTACAGCGGGCCGGAGACGTGACCGGAGCCCGGAAGTGGGAGCCACGGCGTCGAGTACTTCCGCTGTTCGCTTTGCTGTCCATCAGCACACGTACGCCCGCCCGTCGCGTCGCGCCTTCATGGCGCGCGTAGGCGGCAGGCAGGTGCCGGGTGCGATCGTTTTCGCCCGCCTACCCCCTACCCCGGCAGGCTTCAGCCTTCAGGGCTCACACATTCACCGTCCGATCGTCGCACGTACATTTGCGGTCGTCATATGTGCTTGCCGTGTAGATAGGGTAGGAGTATCAGATCAGAGTACGTACGTGTGCCGTTGTCTAGGGGCACGTACCTGTACTTCCTTTGGTCGTGCCCTGCATGGCATTTCGTACCTGATGATGTATGTGTCTCACCGTATGTGTGTACGTTGATCTCGCAGGTTACCGAAACAAGAGTTCGATTTTTAATTTCTCAGCCACACTTCTGCGCGTTTTCTCTTCTCGCAGCCAGCCTGTTCGCTTGTTGATTTCAGTAAGTCCAAACCAACCAGCCAACAGTATTTTTCTCTCATAAATAACCAGCATCAACCAACCCAAAACAGCACCGGCGTCTGGCGGTGAGCAGAACTCGACCGAATTTCCAGTTACCCAGTCGAGTTTACCATATCCAGAGACGTGCGTCTGGCGGTGAGTAGAACTGTTGCAGCTCCCTGCCGGCCGGGCCCACGAACCCGCGCACAGAGACGTGCAGGACTGTCCGGTCGGGACGGGGGGGGTGGCTTGCCGGCCACCACTGGCGGTGCTCCCTGCTCCCATCAGGCTCCTGCCAACCGCGCTGGGCGTTCGTGCCGCTCACGCTACACCGCCGGGCCACCGGCGTACGTGCTTGGGACACGCTGAGGTTCACTATTTGCTGCCCTCCCTCCAATGCAACTGTTGCAAAGGCCGAAGCAACTGCAGCATGCAACAGTGCGCAGGCACGTCTCCTCGCCGTGCACGGCCCGCCTGACATGCGCGTCCATGACATGGCTCTCTGCAGGGTTGCAGGACTGCACCTGGCCTCGCTTGATCGTACGCACAAGTGCGTGTACCCTCTCCTGTGCGCCGGGCCCGAGCGCCATCGGCGTCACGTCGCCGGACATGGACAGTGCCCACCGTGGCGCCATGCCGGGGACCTACCGCGCGCGGCCGTGGACGTACGGGTGCCCCTCAGCTGGAGTTGGCAACGGGTAGAAAATACCCGTAAACCCGCGGATATGAAACCCGATGGACACGGATATGGGTCTAAGTATATGCCCACGGGCACGGGCGCGGGCATGACCCTAAACCCAACGGATATTTGTTCACGGGTGTGAAAAAATGATATCCGCACCCGCAAACCTGCCAGACCCGCTCCAATACCTGACATGTGGCCCCAACCCAATACCATGTATATATACTCAGAATCTAGGGTTTCATTTCTCCCTCTCAATCTCCCTCGCCCAGACACAAAGACACTCTCGCGCCATCAGCAGCATGTCGCGAAGTCCGACTCCCCGTGACCCGTCCCCCATCTCCCCGTCCGACTCCTGGGGTGGCCGAGTCGCCGCTTGCCGCCACCACCACCACCGCCGCTTCTCCCGGGTTGGCCATCTCCCCCAGCGCCGCAGCCGCTTCTATCTCCCCAGCGCCGCTTCATCTTCCCAGTGACGCCTTGCCCGTCGCGCCCCCATCTCCCCCTAGTGCTGCTGCCCGCCAGCGCCATCCCTTCCCGCGCCGGCCGCCGCCGAAGGACCGGATCCGTCGTCCGCAAGACCACAACTCC